AATGGGGAAGCAAATTCTTTTCATCTTCGAACTCGACCCAGACATTGTTAAGAGTGAACTGTGTAGAAACTTTCATCGCGATCGGACTCTCCTTTCAAAAGTTATCGTGTAAACGGCCGGCCGGCCGACCGGACACACTGACCAATTCTAGAGTGTACTCACTTTTTGAGTACACAAAAATGGCAAAAGTTCTATCGAAGTGATCTGGTTTAATCGAATTGGTGAAATTTGAATCATTCATGTAAAAATAACAAGAAATTTATTTCTCTATCTCTTCACTTATTTCTGATACATATTTATATAATGCGAAAGTATGTATATCACGTGAAGCTCCAAATAGCCTTCTATGAGACCGAAAACTATCTCGCTGAGTGACAAAATCATTTTGATGCAATATTCAAAATACTTACCTTACACCTATATGACATACATTTGATTAATTGAAAATTAATCTGGGATAGAAAAAAAAATTATTTTTTTCATTTTAATTCACGATATTTTGTCAGAAATATGTCAATTCGTTGTAATAGCCAAAACGAAAACAAGTTCGATTTTTCCGATTTACTAGTCTCATCTTGAAAATGATTTGAATAAAACAAAAAGAGGAAGTTATCTATTAATGAGTTATATTGCTATTAATAATGCGATGAGATCTGATGATCTTTTTATTGAATTTTCTTAGCAAACATTATGGAATGTTTGAAGAATAATTTTTCTCTCAATAATCATTTTTTAAATTACATTGATGATTATCTTCTAAAGTAAAGAATATTGTCTAAAAATATTAGTATCTAAGAATAATCCTGCAAATTCACATTTAAATTGAGATATTTCTCGGTTTCTTGTAATAATGAATTTTTTTTTTGGTTTACTTTTTCTCATTGTTGAAGGATATAATTAATAGTCATTTAATTGCTACGTAGTTGATCAACATTCCATAGATCCATTCTATTATATTCTGCTTCTTTTCTTAGGTGAATTAAGTATTTTATTTTGTGAAGAAATAAACAAAAGCAAGTACGTTTAATGTATTCTTTGTTTTTTTTCATTATCATCTGATATTTATTTTCACTATTTGTTGTTGACGTTTTGATTAAAGAAATATGTCTAAAAAATGTTACATTATCATGCACGAAATATATGGCAAAGAAGGAAGAAGGTTACCTTGAATAAGTAACTTTTGCTTTTCAAATGAGAAAAATTTTTACTTTTTTTGAACACTTTTATAAATATTTGTCATATGAAGAAAACAATATTCTTGATCACTTAGAAAAGATCATCTATTTTCATCAGCAACACTGATATATGAATAATTTCTTGCGCTTTCGAAACGACATTCCAATCTTACCATACTTTCAAATAGGGCCACTTTTCGATGACTCGATTAGGAATAGTTCTAATAATAAGTATATTGCTTTTTCGAAAAGAACTTTACACGATGGTAGTTCATCATCACTTCAGTGATTTATCAGCAGATTATAATAACTTTGTTATCGTAGCGATTACAAGTATAATAATGTAAGACAATTCTAAGTGTTTGAAAAGCAACATCAAAGGTAAAATGAGTTTATTATTAAACCGGAAAAGTAAGATATGTTCGTCCATATTCCACTTGGTACTCGGACTTTTCGTCACATGGATAAAATGTTACAAGATTTTATTTTACAATATATTTGTATATCACCAAATAAATTTGTGGAAAGTAATTGTGGGAAGTGAAGAAAAAAAAAATAAAGAAATACTATAGTTTCTAAAAATAAAATAAAATTCTGTATTGAAAAACGATTAACATATTTACAAAACATACAAAAAATCTCTGATAATATCTTAGGTTAGTAGTGTCCAACGCCTGATTCCAGTGACTTTCTCGCAGAAACCGGAAGAAGATCTTGGACAGAGATTGAATTTGACAGCTGAGATACGGTAGCCATATCGTTGGTTGATCACGTTTCTTTCTAGCCGATAGTTCTTGGAAATAGAAAAAAAAATCGGTCATTCGATGAGAACATCATATTTCTGCTTTCAATTTCTGACTATTTTTATAATTTTTCCGACTGAAACTGGCTCGCACACTTTCGTCTGAGTACCTTAGAAAAGTCTTTTTCGATGAAAATCTTTTAGATAATTTCTATAAAAATATACATAGGTTTTGGCTAAAATTTCAAATGTTTCATGTGTCTCTTGGAAACTGTTCTTTTGTCGGCATTATCTAAGAAAAAATTTAACTAGATTTCTTCTGATATAACTGTAGAAAAATTTTGTTAAGCATTTTAAGTGTGTCAATACTTTTTCAACATGGAACTCAATTTTTTATAGAAACTATAGTATTTCTTTACTTTCTAATAAAATGTTTGATAATGAACAAATATATTGTAGAATAAAATCTTCCAATATTTTGTTCATGCGACGTATTCTATTGTTAGAAAAAAAACCATCTACTATTCTACTTTCATGAAAAGTGCCATTCATTAAAAGGCATGCACCAAACTGTTTTGTTCGCTATCGCCTATCGAAAAGTGCATAAAAACGTGTTGTCAGAAATAGTTGTCTGCTTGAGTGGTTTGCTTCTATCATCATTTACTGTCAATCGAGTAAAAACGATGCTTCATGGACAATGTATTTGAAGACTCTCAGACACTATTTTTACTAATTTTGATAAGCCAATTTTTCCCATGGGAAAAACAAAAGATTCTGAGAGTCTATGAGAGTCCCACGTCGTTCATAAATCCAATTAAATTTCTAAGAGTATCATTAATAATTCTAGTGATTGTTCAAGAAATTGATTCACCAAATTCTATTGTGTCAATTAGAATGTGAAAAAGAAAATAATTTAAAAAAATACGTTTGTTGAAAATTTCTTTTTTCCTCAAACCAAACGAAATCTGTGGCTTCTAGCAAACATATTACAGTTTTAATGGACAGAAAAGAAAAGAAAACAAAGTATATAGAAAAATTTAATGATATAGGATATGAAATTAACCACTTAGTTTACCACTAATGTATTGTATAATAGTTTTATTCTTATTTTCAACTAAAAATACTTGAATTACTCGTCAACTAAATAATTGATGCTCTCTCAGAAGAAAAAGTTTTTATTGAGCGTTTTATTTCTATAAATACTGTTTTTTGTTTCATAATAATCGCCATTGCAGTTATTGGCAAGAAGTCAAGTGTTATTTCAGTGATCACGTTTACCCAGAACGAAAATTGAGTTCATAGACAAATGCAAAGGCTCAAAAATCAGATTTGTGAGGAAAACACTCAATAATAGTCGAATTATTGAATCATTCAAATTCTATTATCGGAGACATTCAATATTATTAGAATGATCAACTAAAGAAACGATATAAAAGTTATGCTATTATTGATCAATTATGATAATAGGTGGCAAAATGTCAAAAACAAAATAGTCGAAAATAGTTATTTCGTAAGTCTTTAATAATTAAGTAGATTTTTCAGATTTTACCCTCACTCACGCTGCTGAACTGTGTGTTCGGTGACCTATGATGCTTTGGTCATGAAATGCTTTTAGAAGGTCCAACTGTCGTGGTTTCAAAATTTACAACTGCAGACATTTCGCTTTTCGGCGTTTTTATCTCCACTGTTGTGCAATTTTACCACGTATTTTGGCGATGTTACTTTAATTTAAAAGCAAATACATATTGTTGTTCTCTAGAAATTTAATTTACAGGTACACTACACACTTATTCGAATAATTGAAAATGATGACGTGCATTCGTAAGAACTTCTGTTTGCACAAGCATTAGAATACTAAAGTAATAGATATCGATAGAAAAAATTTACTTTTAATAATTCAATTATCTTTTTTTTTTAACTGCGAAATTGAAAGCGAAAGAAAATTAAAAATTGTATTTGTTAAATATCATATGTCAACATGGCTATTTTGAGAATATTATATTTCAGTTTTTCATATACGGTATAGGTTGTCAATTTTCTTAAATCCTATTTTAATTTATTTTAAATCCGAAAATATAGATCCATTTTGATTAATCACAAAATAAAAACATTGAAGTAGATTAAAAAGGCAACATAATCGACATCGAAATATTGATGAACTATAAAAATTTGTCAGTCTGTTTGGTCTATGGTATCTTC